AAGTTGTTTTTACCTTAAACTCATTTATTGGGATGATATAAAAAAAAATTATCATAATTATTCTCAGCTTAATCCAATCAGATTTCTGAACAAGATGAACCCCAAATCTTCTACGACCAATTTCCAAGGAGTATAAGCAAATTTTTATTAATGTGTAAGAGCCAGAGAGCAACTACCTTCAACTAGAGAATAATTAATTGAGATAAGAGCAAAAATTAGGTTCTCTTAGCAATTTTGATCACAATCTTATATACAAGAAGGTAGGTGAAGGAGAATAAGGATAAAAACCTTGAGATATTTGTTAGTGACTCCACCATTCTATCTTTTGATGTTAGGGAGTATGTAGACAAGGAGACATAGGAAAAGGTAATCATAGTAAGAGATGCCATGCAATTCCTTTCTATTATATGTGAAGGGAAGGATGTGGAAGAGATGGGAGATGTTAGACCATCTTTTCTTAATATACATATGGGTGATGGAAAGTTGGTAGTTTATCTTTGACATTGTACTAAAAATGCCCTTGTTCCTTCATCAATTTATGTCCATCTAAAATGTCTTTTTATTATGTAATAAACATAATACATTGTTTGCTTAAAAAAAATAAAAACCAATTTAATAAATTCATTTTATTATTGGTAGATTTACATACATACCTCATAATTCCTATGTATTGAGATATGTTAAAGTTTGTACATCAACTTTTGCATATATATATATATATATATATGTGTGTGTGTGTGCCACATTATGTACGCATAAAAATGCCTATTTCATTTTTTAATAGTTAGAATAGTAATATTTTTGATATGATATGAAACATTTCGGATGCAAATGTCGAAAGTAAAGGTTTACTTGTTAGATATGTAAATACATAATTGCTAGGCGGCACGTATAAATGCCCCCTTTTTTATTCGTATGGTCTATTTTTAAAAAGATAAATTTATCTCAAATAGCTGCAATTACCTCGTCCTATTGATGCAATCAAACTTACAAGGTTTTTGATTGATTGTGATTATATGTTAACTTAAAGGGGGCCTTTAGATACATACCACACAATTGTTATGTATTTACATATCTAACACCTAAACTTTAATATTTACATATATAGCGCACAAATTTTTAACATCATGTCAAAAATATCGCTTTACTAATTTTTTTAAAGTCTAAAGGTGTTATAAATTTAAATATAAAACTTTAGATGTTTGATATGTAAATCTATAAAAATTGTATGGCATGTGTGTACAATTAAAATATCTCCAAAGCCAAGCACAAGGAGAAAGAAAGACATGAAGAAGAAGAGGAAGAACAACACTCTACTCCATAAACTCTATTGTTATTACATTACAAAGATAGATACAACAGTTGTATATATACAAACATAATGACATGCTTATAAATAGTTCAAAGGGTAAAATAGCCATTACAGGCATAATACTATGCATGATATAAAGTGTCGTGTTTATGCAGGAAGTCCTAGCAACCACAGAGGCGTGGCCGAACATGCGGTGTGGAGGAGAACTAGGAAGAGCATGGATGAAGCGATTGAAGGAGAACATCAAGAGATAGCAGTTGTCATTTACCTCCCTTCAAGATGAAGATCGAGAGGTATGATAGTCAGCTTGCGAGTGAGATTTTGGTGTCTATTGATCAGAAGCACTTTGGTAAGAATATTTGGGACTTGAGTTTCTGACATAAGGTGTTGTAAGTCGATATGCTTGAGTTGTAGATGATCTCAAAGTGGTAGTCCATTTCAATATGTTTGGTTCGTGTGTGTAAAATTGGGTTGTCCGTTAAGGCTATTGTTACATTGTTGTCACTGAATAAAATAGTGGGAGGAAGCGTAGTGTTGCAGAGTTCTTGTAGAAGTCGTCTGCAAATTATTTTGGTGGCGTCTATCGCCAAGGCTCTATATTCGGCATCAGCAAAGGATCGAGACACAGTAGGTTGTTTCTTTGTCGACTAGGATATAAGATTTGGCTCAAGGTAAATACAGAACCTAGAGATGGATCTTATGTCAGTTGTATCGCTGGCCCAGTCAGCGTCTGTATAAGCAATCGAGCGACTAGGCGAGATGAATCCAACAAGCCTAAGATCACTCAATTTTGGTCGTTGTCTTCTCTCGGTCGTTGCCGCCTTCAAACTGTCATCGTCTCAGGCAGCCACCATTTCCAATTACTGCCACCTCCAGGTGTCACCATATCCAACTAGCTTTGGTCCACACGACCTATGAACATCATCATAGTTTGCCACTGCGACCCACATAATTTATATCTCATGTAGCTCCTAACTCAAGCTTCGCGGCCTACGGATATCATCACAACTCATCGTTATAACTTATATTACCAATTATGGGCTACGTGGTTCATAGCTAGTTTAGTTCCAGACTCTGGCCTCCGCAGGCTACTGACACTGTCACAACTCACCACTACGGCCTGAGTTACCAACTACGACCTATGTGGTTCATAGCTCGTTTAGTTCCCAACTTCTGCTCTGTAGCCTACGAACGTCGCACCTCTTGTCACTACGACCTATTTGACCAACTACGTCCTACATGGTTCATAGCTCGTGTAGCTCACGACTCCGGCTTACAAACGTGGGCACAGCTCACCACTACGGTCTATGTGACTAAATACGAACAATGTGATTCATAGCTCGATCAGTTCCCAACTCTTGTCCTCGCGGCCTATGGACGTCATCGCAACTCGCAACTATGACCCACATGACCAATTACAACCTACGTGATTCACAGTCACAGCTAGTATTGTTCCTAACTCTGGTTTCTATGGGTTATGGACTTCACCGCAGTTCACAGCTACTTCCCATGTGACCAACTACAGCCTACGTTGCTCACAACTCGTGCAACATTCTACCACAACATCAGTGGTCAACCGACGCTTCTGAGGCAACCATATGCAACCCACATGGCCAACATTCTACTCTGTGAGTCGCAACTGGTTTCTTCTATACAAGTTCGTGCTAGATTTCCTCACTATGCTAAGACGATAATCATTCACTCTGCCACCACGAATCAATTAATTAAGCTATTGTTATAATGAAATGATCACAAAAAGAACGAATATCTTAAAGATAATTAATAATAAATCACTTAATATAAAATATAAAATATTATTTTTTCTAAATAATTTTAACAGTTCAAAGATTTTTTTTTTTAATTTTATTATATATTAAATATTTATTTATTTATTATTTTTTAAACGAGCCAGCTCACTCACGGGCTGAGCCAAGTTGGGTCTGACTTGAGGTTAGCTCGTTAGCTCATTGATCTGAGTGCACGGCTCACAAATTGACTTGGCGTAATATAAATGATAGTCGAAGCCCTTTCCTCGAAAAGTCAAAAAACAGCAAACAGCATATAGACCATTAAAAGATGACGCGTGGAAGCTATAGACAAGAATGTGTCATACGCGCACTGTTAGCGTGTCAAAGCCAACAACCGGGACACGTTCCGAGTCACGGCTGCTTACTTGCCCGCAGCACTACCGAGACCGTTGCGTTTGTGAAGGGGGTCGTCGGTCGTCGCGCTTGCACGAGTTGGAAGTCTCCCACGAGTCTTTCCTAAAATTACAAATATGTACCACAAATATATTTTTTTTATATATCCAATAATGAAATTGAATATTTACTTAGATAAAATTTAAATCTTTAGATCATATTAAAAATATTTCATTAATATTTATGCATTTAGATATATAAATGTTTTATTGTGAATGTAAATTCCTCATTTTTTTAATGTTTAGAGCTTGCATGATGTTTTCTTGAGTTGATTGATGAAATTTCATCTCAAATTTTATTTTTGGATGAATTTATTGAATAAAGATTTATATGTAAATGGGCAACTTGATTTTATTTTCTTTGGTTTGAAGCTGAATTAAGAGAATGTTGTTCAATATAAAGATTAATGGGTTGGTTACCGATGCGAATGAAATATGTGATGAATATCTCGCTATTTTACACTTATTTTGCATATTTCATTATGTTATTATGTGTAAGGAAGGCATTTCTGTTTGTTTAGGGCATGTTATGAGTTTGGGGCTGCTTAGGAATGAAAAGGGACAAATTGGAGCGAATAATTTGAATGAGTGAGCCAGCGTACCCACACCGCCTTCACGACGTGCCCGTGTCATACAAACACTCGTGTTAACTACCAGCGCACCAGCACAATCGAAGGATGGTTTCCTATGGTCTGACCTACTACTAGAGAAAGAAGGTCATTTCTGAGGCCAAATTCTACTATTGGGTTTTGTAGTATAAGGACTAGATTCTTAGGAAATGTGTGACATCTGAAGTAGTCAACGGTATTATTAGGTTTTGTCATGATTCAGAATTTGGAGAGCATTTTAGAGGACTTAGAACTACATCTATGGTATTACAATCTGAAATTTATTAACCTACTCTTTTTAAGGATGTGAATGAATATGAGAAAGATTGTGATTGATGTCAACCGACCGATCTTCAGTCTCAATTCGACAGGGTTGCATCCGATCAATTAAGCGAGTCATTTGGTCTCCTGCCAATCGGCCCTCTTTAGTTGCACTTTCCTCTCTCCTAGTCTATTGGATCTCCTACCGATTCATGCTAGTGCATTCCTAATGTACATGTATCAGATAATTGTTAAAACTAATGATCTACCGACTCTCATGAATATGAAAATACGATCACATCTTGGTCAAAAAATAACAAAAAAATGAATCATAAAAACATCATAGTAAAAAAATTACTTTCATTGAAGGGGAGAGACGATTGAAGGTAATTATGGAAGAAATAACAATAACAATTTTATTTTATTTTAAATAATTTTCTTTTATAATGCTCGTGTTATTTCTTGTCGTTCATATATTTATATAATTTCAAGTTTTTTATCGACAGTGTAAATGCATTAAATTTGGATCATAAGTCCCCCAAATTGAGACCACTTCCACTCGTCTTGCCAATAAAACAAAGAAGAAATCCAAGTAATTGAGTGCATTGCAAGGGGCGAATATGTTAGATCTGCTAATAAAACAAAGTATAAATTCCCCACAAAGAGCAGCCGCACAGACTCTTCATCCCCCTTCTCCTCCTCCTCTGCTCTTCTCTTCTCTCCCACACCATCAACACCAAGCCAAATCCAATGAAGCCTCACCAACAAGAACAATCAACCAACCAAAACAACCATTACCAACTCCTCCAATCCCCCAAACTCTTCCTCAACTCCATCTCCTTTCTCCCCAAGATCCTCACTTTCTTCCTCGTCTTCGGCTTCGGCCTCACCTTCGGCATCATCTCCACCTCCTACCTCAATTCCTTCCCTTTCCCCTTCCCCTTCCAACCCTCCCAACTCCAATCCCCCACCCTTCCCCCTCATAACCAGTCACCACCACCACTCTCACCTCCGCCTCCGCCTCCGCCTCCGCCGCCGAGAGCTCGAACCGGTCTCAAAGGATACATCGAGCCAAATGAAATCAAACATGACATGACAGACGAGGAGCTGCTATGGAGAGCTTCCATGGCACCGAAAACAAGTTCTTTTCCTTATAAACGAGTCCCCAAGATTGCATTTTTGTTCTTGACGAGGGGACCTCTCCCCTTCGTTCCGCTGTGGGAGAAGTTCTTTGAGGGGCACCATGGCTTCTATTCAGTCTACGTTCATGCCGATCCCTCCTACAACGACTCCTTCCCGGTCGGGTCAGCCTTCCATGGCCGCCGAAATCCGAGC